TTTGTTTGGCTGGCTGAACCGAACATTTCAAACCGTTGGTCACTAGCTCTTAGCAGATGAGGATGACAGCAAACGTACCCATTTCCAGTGGCTTTCCAGACTAGGATCAAGTGGTCCCACTGTGTACAAAAGTTTATATGTTATTGTGTATTTTGAGACGAAGTCCTGCATGATTTTGATTAGCAAACACCTAAAGGTAAAGGTGAGAAGGTGATTGCCAACACTGAAGGGTCTTCCTAATAGTAAAGGACAGACTATGGGGCTCACTGATTCTTTCAAGCCACAATTCATCTCTATCTGTGTGATTCAGTTCATTTGGTGATTCAGTACTCACTGGCTCCAAGAGAAGTGTCTCAACACAGAAAGCACAGTATGGATTTTTGCATTGTTAATACATAGAGAGAGAGAGAGGGAGAGAGGAAGAGACTTGTTAATGCCTTGTGCTAAGCTGTGCATCCAAATTAGTGGATGCTTCTGTCATTGTTAAATGTAGCTTAAACTTCTCTTCTTTGTTTGGCAGAATTTTGGTGTCAATTGGAGAATCATTTGGGGTGAGTTTTAACATTCTTAGTATCTGGTCTTAAATGCATTTAACTTTTTGAGGAATGGGAGAGCCTGCTCACATCTCTAGAGCTGACCAGTGAGTGTGTCTGATTTAATATAGTAATTATAGGGGAGTTCTGTTAACTCCTTCCAAATACCCAGACTTCACTTTTAAAATGTGTTGCATTTGCATTTTATTGTAGTTGCTTTGGCAAAAGATAAAGACTCCAGGGTTTTAGAACTCCTAATTGTGGATATTCTAGAACTGGAGAGGTTTCAGGATTTATTGGCAATTCTTTCCCTATTTTCTTGTCACTTCAGACTTCTGAAAAATTTCAAAAAATAAATCAGATGTTGTGCAACAGTGAGTGCCAGCTGAAGCGCAGTGCAGAAGCAGGTGCTGCTGCCCCAAAGCCACTGAAGAGGCTGCGCTTCGATATAGAGGGGCAAGATGAGGCAGATGGAAGGTGAGAGATTGTCCTGGGCTTTTCAGAAACATTGCTTATCAGGGTCTTCATCCTAATTTCTTTCTGATCTCCTGTCTTGTGTTAATTAATCAACTTTAGCAGCTCTGTCAMATGAGAGATGGTGGCACGAAGCTCCTCAGTTACACGCTTTGATGTCAGAAGCGTTTCACCTTGATTCAAAGTTTAGGTTATGACGTAAAAAGTTACTTTTATTAACTTAATCCTATGCTTTCTGTCTGCAGTAAACACCTACCCCAGGAGTCCAAGTTCCAACAAAAGCTTGCAGAAATGAGTGAGTATTACTTTTCTCATAATCTGCACAGCACTGAGTGCCTTGTATAAAGCCATTTGGGCCCACTCAGGTGAAAACATTGCTTAACACCAAGGTGATTTGGGTAACTTGCCTAGCTTTTGTACTTGGTGCATTTTATCTTGAAAATGCAGATTACAAAATGGAAATTCATGTACACAGGAAAACCATATATAGTTTTTTTTGTTGCTTTGCTGAATACTGAAATGTGTGAGACAGCTTTTTCTTCTAGTGTGGGTCAGCATTTCTTTCAGATCTTATGGGATCACTTTTCTGTTTTAAAATGAAACACGAATCTAGCTGATGAAAGTACAACGGCTCCAGCCCCCCATCCAAGTTGTATTTTCCAGTCATGAGAAGGAGCACACTTGGCCTGGCCAGGCATTCTCACTCTTTGGTGCAATTTGAGCTCTGCAGCTGAGCAGATTTGCCCATTAAAAACTCTCACCTCACTCATCAAAATAGTTCTGAGTGTGGATCCAAGCACCTCTTCTGTATTTTAAGGCAGGGAAGATGTTTCAGTGTTCACTTATGGTAGAGGTTAAGAAGGAGAGTTGTGTCTCGTGTCCAGTGGTGTTAGTGTGTGCAACTAAGGGGAAAAGGCATTTCTTGGGCAGGCTGTCCCTGGGATGGGGACACTGCTCAGCCCACAGCATTTGCCTGGCTACAAGGAGAGATTTCCGGTGTGACACAGACCATCTGCCCACCTTGARGATAGAAACAGACACAGTGAGGGAACAGAGACAATGAGAACTGAAGTGAACAGGTGGAAGGAATTTCATAAGGTGTGCAAGATTGAGCAAGAATTGCTGAAACAATGCAAAACTAGGTGTTTATCCTATAATGAGGGATTGGGGTAGTTTACAACAGAATAATGTACTTCTATTTTTTGTGTCGTTACAAATTTTTCCAGTAATTAGTTCAAAGTAATTATGAAGAAAATACTACATTCTTTTTGCTTGTTGCGTTTTTTTGTAGCATCTACTCGTACAAGAATGCAAAAGCAGAAACTGAATGATGGAAATGATACCTCAGCCAGTGAAGAAAAGTGAGATTCTTCTCAGGACCAGATTCCTCTCGGGCTGCACTGCTGGCCCTCTTATGATTGTGTTTGTTTTACAGCCTTCATTAATAGAGTTGCTTTTTTTAGTTGTTTTTTATTCCAATGCTAGTTGAAAGCATTTGTACTTTTTTAATTGTTAAATGTTTTCCATAATACTTTGCCTTATGATGTAGCATATATACAATGTAAGCCACTGAATTTAATTTATATATTTTTGAGGATTTTTAAAAGTCTTGGAAAGAATATGAGTTTCTTGTTGCAGCATTACTGATTTAAGCCAGTTCAGTCTCGTTGGATTGAATTTATGTCTAAAGATGAAAGTTAGCTAGAATGATTTGAAATGCACTAATTTTGTTTCTTAGATTTGATTTTTAGATTTTCATTACTTGCAAATTTTGAAAATGGTGGGCTATTTACTGCAAAGATTTCTGCCTCTGTTTGTAATTAGCACATCAAATTCCCATTAAATTTAACTGGACAGCAGTCGGGGGCTTTGCAGAGTTGGGGCCTCACCTCAGGAATACAACCTGAATTCCAAATTGATTCAATTTGTAGCCTTACTACTGAAACCAACACTTGGCATTCTGTAGTTTTGCTTCCCCTGTGTAATTTCAATGGGCAGTTACACTGTCCATCAGTTTGAATTTCATGGAATATGAATCCCACAGAGATTCATCCCAGAATCCCACAGAGAATCTTCCCCAGAAGCTGAAGCTTCTTCTCATATGCAGAGTAATTGATGTGCCCTTTCTTATCTTGGGAAATCTCAAGTATTATAAGAAAACCAAAACAAAACAACAAAGCTAAACCATAGCTGGCACACACAAGATTTCAAAATTCTAATGATGTAGAATTTTCTTGATTTCTTTGAATTTTCACCTAACTGTAGCCAAGCCAAACAGGCTGCGAAACAGCTGGAAGCTGAGTGTCTCCAGCTGGATTCCAAGTAAGAGTGGCCTGGGCTCTAATGGCACAGGGCATCTCCCGTTGGCCTTATTGCAGCGTCTGCAAAAACCTGAACGTGGTTAACACACGTTGGGAAAATCTAACTGCCTTATKTTACTGAAAAGGCAGTTAACTGGGCAACTTGTGAATGGTTGCAACCAGAAAAAAAACCAGAAAAAAACATCCAGTACTTTTTTCATCTTTTGTACTTGTAAATTACTGATTCAGATACTGGAACTTTTCTTGCAACAACTAAGTTTTGTAAAAAAGCCAATTAACAAAAGCAAATATTTTATTTCCAGGGGATTTAAATATAAGCAAATAAATTGTATTGCTGTAAAATTACYTGGTTTTATGAAATTCAGCTTTTGCACCTATTACATTTAAGAACAGGTACAGTAGAAAAGCATGCTATCCATGACACCAATATTTTAAACCAACATCTTCTTCCAGGTAGCTTATTTACAGATTGTTTAGCTGATCCTAAAGTACTTACAGTAGGAAGTTTTAATGATCCATTCTTGTGTTGATTCAAAGATAACCCTAGAGCTACTAAAAATTCTATGAGCAGAAAACTGATTGTAAATTAATTTTAAAGTAATATTGAGGGCTTTTTAAAACTCAGTATGGCTTGAGCTTTCTTACTGATAAAATGTACCGAAGTTTCAAGAATACCTTATGTTTTATTTTCTCATTTTTTTCAGTTTTGGAGACAGGATATATGTTAACTGTGGAGTACACTGACTGTACGCTCTGTTACAGCAGTCAAGGCTCTTCCTTTGGCTAGAGGGATGATACAGAGTCCAGTATCTGAACAGAATCATTATTTCTTTACTGTGACAATGTATTTTTTTGGTTAAAACAGACTGAAGGCTTTACATCAAATGTAAAATATTATTTTATACAACTAATCAGTTTTTGTCCTTTCAAGATAAATAAAATAGCTTTTAAAAGATTTATAGTCAGTAATTTTCTTATACTAGATACATGATTTCATATGGTACCTAGGCAAATAAATGCATATTGAAACCAATGGCATTTTATCAGATACTGAAATCTCACTGTGGTTGACAGCACTTTCCTTAGAGCAAGACTTTGCTGTACTAAAAATGGTGTGGAATATTGGAACTGTCCCAGGGAAAATCAGGAATCGCAGCAGATGTTGGACACAAAATGTGATAACCATTTCAGGTGCCTAGCAACAAACATGCATTTCTGTAGAAAGCCGAAGAGCTGGGTGCAAGAGGTGGTCAGGTAAATTGCTTCCTGGAAAGACCCACCTCTGTCCACTGGTGCTTAAAGGAATTTAATCTGTTGGCTTGTCTGTGTAGCCATCCGAAGGTGGATGAGCTGACCCCCATGGCACAGGAGTGGCTGCAGGAAGCCACCTTTATCAAATGTGAAGCAGCTGGAGAAGATTATGGCTATATGATACCAGTGCCCAGTACAAGCTCAAATACTTTAAAATGTAAGAAGCTGGTTATAATGTGCATTTGCTTAAGAAACAGTGATTGGTGTTGTGAGGACTAGTCTATTAATCACAATTTATTAAGTCACAAGGGCATTGATTTCTTTGAAATTCTTGCAATTCTCCAGCTTACAAATGCATTATCTGTGCMAGTGATTTCCTCAAGAACACAAATAGCCATTAAGGTACCTCTATGAAATATTATCTGATTTATTTCTTTTCCCCTCACACACAGTCAACTCAGTCTACAAGCATCAAGCTTTCTTCACTTTTACTGAAAAGAAAGGAAAAAAATCCCACTCATATTCTTTTAAATATGACATTTTTATTAATGGTTTATTGAACCAGGTAAGTTTGTAAAGAAACAAAAAATCATTTATGTTCAGGCTGTAAACTTCCTACATCATTGGGTGGTAACCAATGAGTCCTGCCTCTATGGGGCAAATAAATGCTTTGTTTTACAAGAAAGCCCATGGAAATTGTTCAGATCATATAAAAACACCAGTTTACACATTTACCAAGCAGTGTAACAAAACTCTACAGGTGGGTACAAGATGACAATGCAGTGCTGGCTTTTTGCCTCAGTAGCTTAGGAGAACCTTTAAATTACTCTGGCCATGTAATTTTTCTTTCCATTAGATTCCTTTCCAGAAAGTGGAACACAGCTCTTTATTTAAACCCCAGACACAGTTTATGCTTGACCATATTTTCACTTTTTAATAAATACTTTTTGTCTGTGGTATCCTAAAACAGAACAATACTTTATTAAGTATTTAACCTGTAAACTCTACAAACACGAGGTGGTTGCAGACAGTCTCACAACAGTAAAATGCACCCCTAATTTCTCCTGAAATGTCCTATGGTTGGGTTTCAAGCACATATTTACATCTGTGCACCCACATTTAACCACCTAAGCCAGTAAGGTTTTTTTTTAAACACTGACCTGAAAATGCATGCAACAAAATTTAAAAAATTAAATAAATATATGTCTCTATGAATGTAACACTATTACATCCAGGTCAGATGACACAGATGGCATGAATAAAAGCCAATGCTGACACATTGGATCTTTAGAATCACCCTCATTCAGTCCAGCGATGCTTCTTCTGAAAATTACAGGGTTTGTCAATTATTCTGAAATTGCAAGTAGGCTTTAATGTGTATGGTTGGTTGGAAATTAGGAGCGGGAAGGAAATAATGCACTGTCTGCATTAACCTCTACCTGTGTGCTGGTGTCAAATGCTTCCCAACACAAACCAAAATTCATCTCTTCCTCCAGCAAAGCTGTGGTTTTGATGAATCTGCATTATGTACTGGAAAGGTTTCAACYACCTCTGAACAATAAATACTGATGCAGCTGCCAGAAATGGACTTAATGCTGCTGAAAGAAGTCACACTCATCACTGAGGGGGTGGCAGAACGTGCTTGCTAGCAGTAGATGATCCAGTATATTTCTAGTGAGAGCCTGAGGCAAATGTCTCAAACAGAAGTAAATATTTACCACAGCGTTTTCCAAAATATTGGCTCATTGCCCTCTTCTTAACTAAATTCTGCTGCTTGTGTGCTTCATGTTTCCACTCACACCTGCAGGGACTGGGATGAAGAGGGGCACTACTCACTACTTTTCTGAGTATGTGCTGCTCTTTTTCCTCCTACTCTCCTCAAAAAAMAGGACTGTTTGAGAAATGAGCCTCCAGTATAGTAAAGAACAGCTATTTCCACCTTAGAAATGAGGAATGTGACAAATTAAGGGAGTTAAGTTCTTAGAAACCACATTAGAAGGTTAAAAAAGTCCTTGAAGGATTCTGTAGCACAGCAAGGACCTGCAGGAAGGTTGCACGACTAATTATATAATTAAATTAGGACTCTGAGCCTGGTCATCCAGCCTTTTGTCTTCCCCATTTGTAAAATACTGCAAAAGGCACTTGAAGTCACTTCACTCAAAGTTTTAAGAGAAATAAATTCTCAGGGTTAATTCACCTATTAGAAAATTCAAGTAAATGCTCCATGGGCTCCACACCTTCTGTAAGGGGCAAACCTCCCTCTGTGCAGCACTGGGTGGGGTTTGCCTTAACTGCCTTCAGTCAGTTAGAAATAGCCATCTACCCTACCTTAGCCACTGATGGTCACTGCTGGGAGAGAGGCATGTCCAGAGGACAGCTCCTCTCTCCTGAACAGCCCTGCAAAGAAAGTCCTGTGGTCACTTCACAGCTCTGACCACGGGAGAATCTGAAACACCTTATTTGGACAAGATACGTTTATCAACATCTGGAATAAAGTGTCAATTCACCCTTACTATTTACTTGTAAGTAAATAGTTTCAATTCACCCTTACTACTTACTTGTAAGTAAATAGTTACGACTTCAAAAATCACCTTTTTCTCCATTTTAACGAAGTTTGTCTACCTGGGGATAGACAGACAGGAATAAATAAACCTCAAGCGGAACTTCCTTTYCTTGAAATCTTGTTTGTGTCTGTAACTGGGAGGTTTTCTTCACAGTAAAACTCAGAGCGTGACAATTCATATCCAAACACACATGGCGAGTTGCATGGGTGCCAGGGACCATGCCTGGTGTAATGGAAAAGGAGATTCTTTTTATTCTGGCTAAACAATGAAACAAGTGCTGGAACTCAAAACTGTAATATCCTGCCAAAGCTCCTCATAAATAAACTCCAAATAAATATCAAGTGAGACATACCCACCTACAAACCAGAAAGCCTCTCACCCTAAAAAACTTGCATTATTTTACCATACATTCAGAAAAACAAGTTTGTATCTTCACTGGATTATAACCAGACAAAAAGAAGCCCACTATGGCATATTAATGCAGTTTTGAGACAAAAGTACACTATGAAGTTTTAGCAGCAAACAGGTCTCACTGTCCAAAAAAATAAAATCCAAACACAAGATGGTTTAAAAAAATTAAAAATTAGACAGACTAGATAATGGCATGCTTAGTTTGCTTGACTTTGAGTGGGAAACAGTAGTCGCTGCATTAGATTTTTGTGTTGCGTTCTGCCTGTTGGCAATGAACAGTCACCACACATCTACACTGCAGCCATCCTTACAAAGCCTACATTGTTAGTGGACTTCTACACATGCCCTAAGTTGATGGACACCAAGACTTTCCTTTCAAACCATTGCACATTCTGACCATGGAGAAGTTCTCCAGGAGGGAGAAGTATTTCCAGGAGGGAAGAGGACATGCTCTTCAACTTGGTTGTAGTCAGACCTCAGTTTCGGAATGCTCCCACTCTGCTGGCTTTGCTAATGAAGTTTTTCAGGAGGTCATGGTCCATTTCTGCAAAGCCTTGAGTTTGCGTAACAACAGTCAAATGGTTTATGCAAAATCTGAAGCAAAATTCTTCCAAGTCCTAGGAAGAAATTGAAATAATTTCTAATACGAATGACTGATAAAATTAGTATTTTTGTTTCAAATCTGCTAAATCAGCTCTAGAACTCCATCACATTTACTAGAATTTACAACACATTCATAAGAAAAGTTACTAGCAGGTGAAACCATCAACTTTCTCCTCACAGAACTACTAGAGCATCGATAACTCCTTTTCCTCCATGTATTGAATTTGGTAGTGGTCCTGTGAAAACTGGCAGATATCCTAGTCATGCTGAAAACAAAAGCAAAATATGATGCAACATTTAATGATGCTTGCTGAGGACAAASTGGATTTTGGGATACACGTCTTTCATGGCAAACCTAGAAACTGGATCCCTCTGTCTCACAGGATTTCCAGACAGAAGAAAAGGTTCTGTCTTSTCTTGGTCGCGCTGTAAGACAACACTCAGCTATTCAGCACAGGATGGGTACTGTACCCATCACGCCACACAACCAGGATTTCACACAGAGTATCTTTCCCACTCAAACTCCTTACAACAGTCGCAATCCTTCTCTCCGTGCACTGGGTCAGTCTCCTTTAGCTGGGCCCCATCTAACAAGGTGCAGTGAAGGAAAATGAGTTACCTTCTGCAGCCAGAGCTGGAGCCAGCAGTGAGGAAGTCAGAAGTGATACATGAGCAATAAACCCTTCAATGCTTACAGCAAAAAGAGGTCTCTTAACCCATGCCAATTTGATTCTACACAAAAATTGCAGCCTGGGATTAACAGTAGAAAGATACTCAACAGAATACCTGTGAATGTCCTTTTGACTTTTCCTTAAATTTCATGTTTCAAGATATAACAAAAGCTTTAACTGAAGCACAAAATGTCATTAAAGAAGGAATATAGTATAGTGACTGTGCACAGAAGTAAATTGTATCGGTCATCAATGATATTGGGAAAGTAAGAAAAGGAAGGAGAAAAGAAGAAGAAAAAAAAMCAGAAGAAATTAAAAAATGTAGACAAGTAATGACAGCTTAAGTTCCRGCAGACATCTGAAGTGGTAATGTCAGAACCTGAGCTGATTTATGGTAAATGTGTGAACTTTCATGCTAACTAAAATGAGCAGCAGCTGCCTTTTCTGGTGCTCTGGTATGAAGAGGACCATAGATTACAGACCAGCTCAATCCTGGTCACTCATTTTGCAATTTTCAAGAAATACTGTCTCTTTAATTCTGTTTTATAGAAGATGATTAGTCTAAAAATTGCTACATTGTATATGAGAATAATGCTTTAAACTAACTTGTAGCAGCAATTCTTTGTATTTTATGAGGACAGGAAAAAATATTTTCATGCATTTTAAATCCTAAGAGATGCATACTGTAGTCAAGTCAGTCTTCATTTCATTTGCAATGTGAATGGCATATCACACACCAGTATAATCTTTCACTTGCAGCATTCACATTTAATGATAAAATAATTGAATTATATCTTTTCAGACTTCCAAAATATGAAGCCTCTTCCATAATCCTTCTTTTGACACTTTTCTGCTGAAGTCCTGACACACTGCACATGATTCTCAAACCAGGAGTTACTGCATTAATGTAGTGCACTAAAAGATCCTGGCTTATTCCACGGTTCCTTAGACAGAGGCTACCCCATGCAGCCTCTTGATAAAGAAATCTTTGCTGCACTTCCCCAAAGCTGTTCTACCATCCGTTTCTGAGCTGGGGGTGTAGGGAGGAGGGCAACAAAGCACTCCTGAATTTGGCACATACTGCAGCCAGGGCAGGTGAATCAAACTATCATCTGACAATTGTGTTAAACTGTTAAATGTGTGAAAGAGTGATACACTGAATCATAGAAGGAAGAGGACGACAACATATATTTAGTTACCCAGCCAATCCCTCTTATTGTGTCTCAGCCGTTATGAACTCTGGCCCTTTGTCCAGGCTGTTTTCACTATTTCACAACGCATGTAAGTGTACCTTTAACTACTCTTCAACTACTTCCCTGGATATAGGTCAACTAAAAATACTTCAGCTTTGAAAATGTTGAAAAATGTTGAAAAACTTGTAAGAGAAGAAACTACAGAATAAAACTTTAATGAAAACACTGCTGTTATGAGAACCAGATCACTGGGTCCTGCCTTCTTGTAGAGTCTTCCCTGCTATGCTGGGCTTGTACCAGCGCAGCACACTGAAAGCACAACTCTTCTTTGCCGCAGCCACCCATGCCCTCTGTTACTGATACCTGGGTTACAAATGCCTTGTAGTTGGCAGCTGGTGATCTTACTGTCTACTAATCTCTTGTTATCCCCTTTCTATGGACGGAAYTCACTGACTTCCAGCCTCCTCTTTGCAACTCCTGCCCAAATTCATCTCCTGCAGTTTGCTGTCTCCATAGAGCACTGACTAATACAACATTTTTAACTCTGCTTCAATCTCTTCTTTCTACTTGCTTCCTGTATCCAAAAGGTTTTTATAACAACAGCCCCTAAATCTAAAACATGTAAGCAGACTTTTTGCATAATAAAACCCTCCACAGAGTTATTTCCACAATCATCACAGCACTAAGAAGATAAGAAGAGGAAAACATCTTTGGAAGTATTTGTTTACCAAAAAAGCACTGGTGACAGGTTGAGTGCTAGTGACACATTCCGGAATCAAGGGCAGACCAGACGACAGGATACAGGGAGAGTAATAACAATAGGTAATTTGTTGTGTGTCAGCACAACTTGTGAACAGTACTGCAAAAGTGGATTTTTTTATATAAGAACAAGTGTAAATAGGGAATTTACAGGTAATTTCTCCCACTKCCTGTAAAAATCAGTACCAGAATGACAGTACCAGACACTGGCAGACAAAACGATCAGGTGGAGAACTCAGGGAGCGAAACACAGGGCAAAATCCAAAGCAGTGATGTAAAYGGCAGTGAGAAATTTGCATGTCATGCCCTCCCATGTCACAGGACAAGGAAGAAAGCAGGTTAAGCACCCTGACTCACAGGTGCAAGCTGAAAGGGGAGGAAGAAAACACTAAACTGGGACGAGGGCGGGGTGGGAGGGTTAATTTTTACTTTACAGCCTAAAAAGAAGAAAATAAACATCTGGAAAGCCAGAAAGGGAAATTACAGTAACCWTGCCTCATCAGTTAAATACAGTCATGATTATACTAGGTAGCTTCATTTCTCAGAAAACAACTGCTTATCTGAAGAGAAGTTCTTACCTGAGCTTCGTACTTGACAGCAGCAGAAAGAAGAGCAATGGCATTCTCTTCACAAATGCCTTGTTTGATCGTTTGCTGGCAAAGCTTTTTTAGTCTGTTTTCTCTATACAGTGTTGCCAAATCTAGCAGGCCTGTGAAAATGTGCAGAGCTTTAACTATTSTGGAGCAAAACACATTCATGTCTTTTTTAATTAATCAATTATCCTATTGTTTTAGGCTGAATTATTCAAAGACTGGCTCTTTTTTTTTTTTTTTTTTCTAGATGGTGTTGCCAAATCTAGCAGGCCTGTGAAAATGTGCAGAGCTTTAACTATTGTGGAGCAAAACACATTCATGTCTTTTTTAATTAATCAATTATCCTATTGTTTTAGGCTGAATTATTCAAAGACTGGCTCTTTTTTTTTTTTTTTTTCCTAGATGATGTGTGCATTTTTAAGGTCCCCTACAGATCTATCAAAAAAGGAACCATTTTATTACTATACAAGTGCTCTGATCTCTTGTTTTCATTCTGGACATCAATTACTGCCTGACATCCTCTAAAATCCATGCAGGGAAGATACTCTTTTCATTCAGGATCAAAAATCACTACAGTTACTCAAATAAGAGAAGTTTCAGGATGGCATTAGTACCTTTCTAAATAAAAGAAAGTTCTTGATAAGAGCAATGAGTTCTTTTTGAACACTGCATCTCTGACCTCATTGCATGCCCACCACTCATTCTCCTTGGGCATGCTTCCTGCTACTCCATCTTTTCTTCCTGACACCTGCCAGACTCAAGAATAAAGTGCTAATGAAACTAAAATTAACAAGCCCTGCTTTCCTCACRCTGTAATGACATATCGACTGAACTTTTCAAAAACAATAATCTAGAGCAATTTAAATTTAGAGCAAATACCTATTGCATCTTCAGGAGGGAGCCTAATGTTGTCTGTATAGAGATATTCCAGGAAGGCTCGGTAAACAGGGTATGAAAATTCACTCATTTCTATAATTTCATCATCATTATTGAGTATGGAGCGAAAATGTTCACACCTACAAAACATGAATAAAGATTATATACTGTTGAGAGTTAAGCTTGAAAGATGAGCTGCAGCAAGAAGTTGGTAAAAAAACCAATCAGTCCTAACAGACTAAATACAGAAGCAGAACCTCAAGCTCCATGATTTCTTGCTTTGAACATGTTAATTTCTTTAAGCCTTATAAGCCTGATACATGTAATTCAGAATTTAATTTCTGTTGTTAATATTTTACCACAGGCTCCATTTCTACTTAAAATATCTACAAGGATTACCCATCTGGTTTTGATGTCATTTTCTTAAATATGTTATACATTAACAATCCATTTTATTTCCTGTCTCATAGCAGTTAAATTAGCAATTAACTAAGACAATTCTGAGATTTGACCCTGATTTTTCCAACATGGCCTAATGAAGAGGGAAATTATTAATAATTGTAGATATATTTATTCCAGTGTCAAGAGTCCATACACAATTTAGCATTAAATGTTAGATTCAAGGATTATTGAAAATGAAGATACTTTCACTCAGATCTTTCATCACCTTTTTCTTACAAGTCTGAATATTTTTGTGAYAGGTACAAGCAAGGAAAAAGCACTGCCTTTGATAGCTGTAATCTGCAATATACAGTTCACAGTAACATAATGCACTGAAACTTACTGTTCCCTAAAAAATATCCTAACATTTGCAGTTTTCAAAATTTTTGTTGATGTAAAAGAACATCACCATCTCCAATAAGTTTTCCTATAACAACCACAATCTAATCACACTTTTTTGTAGTACCCTAATTTATAACTCTCCCACATCTGAATTTTCTCTTCTTTTACTCAAACTTTTCTATAAAAAGGATGGTTTCCTTTTAATGTCTTTGAGACAAAACTACAATATAAAGACAGTATCACTTAAATCCAAATGAAAAATAATCATTTAACTAATCACTTATGTTTTTCACATTTGACTTTACTGATTATTGGAAGAATTTTTTTTTATCTTAGTATTTTGGGGCTTTTAATAACATAATGAAACCTCTTGTCAAATTTAAAAAGAAATAAAAAGTCATTATCTAGCTTCTGCCACATCTTTTACCACATTCTGGCATTGGGAGAGGCAGACAAAACATTGTTTTGCTTCCCAGAGCCTCATGTTAAGTAGTGGCGACCATGCTACCCATCCAGCCTGGATCAGACCTAGGAAACAGTCTGTGCCCCAATGACACCACACCAAAATCAGAGAGAAGGTAGTGCACATCGATCCCTGAAAAATTAATAAGTAAATAAATCAAAATTGGTTAGTACACATCCTCCAGTCTACAAAGGATGGAGTGACTCATCTTTTGGAGCGCCTCTCCCTGTCACTATCTCCCAGCAGAGACAGCCCAGACTCGCAACTGTGGCTGACTCAGTGCAGAGCTGATGGATCCCACCCCCACACGGGGATGTGTCTGTTTCTGGAGGCACTGCTGGCCCTGGGCTCCTCTCACTGCACCAGGGGTTCCCTGACACTTCACCACCGCCAGCCAATAACCACCAACAGCGGGATCCAGTTCAAGAACAGGAATAGAGAGAGATGGAGAGGAGTCTCATGAGCAGTAAGGAAATAGATAATGAAAACTTTTACCAGCACTGCTTTCATGACAATGCTTCAGAAAAGGCCAAATGYTGCAAAATGCCATGTTAAATACTTTAATCCAGTTGCACCATGACAGCCGAGGAAAATACTAATTTTACAGATTGTCTCTGATGCTCTATTATTCCTTTATAGCATTTTGATGGTGCCATATATTGAAATCCATTTTATAATTAGACACATTTCCTTCACAGAATGCCATATAATCTGAGAAAACTTGTGCAAGAGATAAGAAATAACAGGAAGTTACATATAGCCTGATTATCAGGAGAAAGAATCTCAGGAACATTTTGGGCATACACAAGACTTGATGTGGTATCTGATGGACGACACATGGCACTCCAAATGAAGAGGCTGAATTATAGGCATGAAACAATGAAACCAGTAAAGGGAAGACCACAATAATACAGGTAATCAGAGTGGTAAGAGGAGAGTAGAAAAAAAAAAAAAACAACAGAACAAGGACAGGCAAGAATTAACAGGGAATTTTAACTTTACACAGTAGTACACAAGAAATCACAAACAGGAATCAGGAGCAAAAGTAGTAAGATGAAAGTGCTGATAAAGTGAGTGAGATAGCCAAGCATTTTCAGAAAAAAAATAGCAAWGAAAAAAAATTTTAACAATGTGGAGGACAAAGCAGAAGCAGTTGGCAAGGCAGAAGAGATCTAAAGCAGTGTCTGTAGAATATCCCAATAGAAACCACATCAGCAGTAACAAATTAATCTCTCTGCATGTTAATAATAATGAGATTATTCTGTAGATCTGCATATGTCAAATCTCACTGTAAAGTGGTCTTAACTTGCAAAGAGGTGCAAAAACAAAARAAGCCAGCTTAAAAGTCAAACTAACTGATGAGAAGGTTTAAATCAAGTACAGCAAGAAATCTGTCAAAAAAAGGGAAAAACAATAACCTGGATAGCACCTACAGATGTTGCTGAAATAACTGAAGGGTGCTGTGGAAGGAAAGAGAGCCAAGAATAAACACAAAACCCAAGAATAAACACAACCCACTCAAATCATTCTGGTGGAGGATGCCAAGCATATAAAGGATGGAAAAACTGATTTTAAGTACTGAGAAGACAGCAGAAGGAAGTAAGCCTTTTCCTCGGCAGAAAAAGGTGACCGGAAATTAAGGTCAAGGCCATTTAGGTAGCATAAATGGGGATGTCAGATGGAAAGGGAAGCGATGGCAAGGCAGGTAGTAGAGCAACGTGTTTGATAATTACACAGAGTGATGAAAAGATAGTTACAGTGAAGAACAGCAGCTGAATCAGGAAAAAGGGAATTTGTAAAAATAAGTCAAGAATTTTTTTCAGTGATGACTTAGCACAGTGGACTTACACTACGCAGTTTAGTTTATACAATGTATACAGTTTGCTCCTTACCTAATTTTGAGAAGCACTTTATGAACATGAATGTATTTTCCGTCCACTAGGAATTTCAGGTCTGCCGTTTCAGGGTTGTCAAATTCCTTCTTCAGTGACTGGGCTACTGTTAGATGGTCATCAGGCTCTAGAACAAATAGGGGACTTGCTATTATGCAGTAAGGAATACAAGTATCTCCCAGGACAACATTCTGGGTATSTATCAGCAATTAACACTCCTAATAAATACATCTCCTTAAGGCTAATAAAAAACCCCAGCAGCCTATGTGTTCTGTATGAGCCTCAGAAAAGCAAAGAAAAAACAGCTTTATTCAGTCCTTTCTAGTTTTCTGCTCCAAGCAAACATCTCTATTAGAAAAAAAAGCATTAAATTCCACTCCCCTAACTCATATATACAAAGCCAGAAAAAAACCAACTTAACAGTCTCAGAAGTTTACTGCTGCATCTGATAGCATTTTCTATCAATCATTACTGAGTACATTATTATGGGTTTTTTTTATTGATCTTTTGAGGATCTTGTAATAACTAACAGTTTTAATTTGAAATAAAATTTTCTGAAATGCTCCCATGAGGAGACATTACAGCAAAAATAAATCTACTATAGAAACAACATATTGGTTGCAGTGAAACTGCCCAGTGCAGTATCCCTAAGAGTAAATACCAACACTTACAAGTGGATTCTAAAAGAACAGCTTTCCCTAGACTTAATGGTGTTAGAAGCACAGTGCATCAATGTCTGCATATTCCTGTTTGTGTCCTATGTCTGTACATCCCACCGTGCACATGACATCACAAAGTTACCAGACAGCTTTGAAAAGTCATCCATTATCTGCATACAAAATTTTACCTCCTGAACTGATCCAAATCTCCTTCACATAGCCCCAGAGAACTATCTTCTTTAATACTACTAAAAAAAAAAAATCAACAAACCCTTCCACCTCCAAACCTCATTCTTAACCCTGAAAACATTTTTGTACATCTTCATACCACATAAACCACAGTATGCATTTATACAGAACTTGTGGGTCAGCAATTAGTTGTTCTCTACAGAAAATTACATAAATACTAGGTCCTGTAACCTACCAATCTGGAAATAAGAATAGTATTCTTGTGGAAATGAAAAGACCTTCTCCACAAGCTCTAGAGAAAGCTTAACACACACACACACACACACACACAGACACTTCCATACTGTTACACTTTGTTTAGCACAATAATTTTGCATTTCATTTAGAGAATGTCAGGTACACCAAATTTGGGTAGGTACAGATAAAATGGAGGGGGGAGAGAAATCCAATGTAGTGATAAAAAAGGAAGTATTTCTGAAATAATTATACTGTAAAATATTTGGTTAGTTCTTATTTTGTGCAATATGTGGTTTATTTATTCAGACCTCTGATATCTAAACAAAAAAGCATTTTAGCAACTAATGCAAAGCTGAAACTTTTCTTCTAAGTTAACTGGCAATCCAGATATCCACCAAGCTACATCTCCAGTTGATTTCTACAGCCAGGAAGACTGAACACAGTGGGGCTCAGCTTTGAAACTTGTAGAGGGAAACCAGATGCTTTTATTTGTTACAGCTGTGAAGGGGGAACCAGAGGAAGGAAATGAAGAGGCAGTTCGCACTAACAAGGCACAAAGCCAAGAAAACTCCTTAGCAGCCAGTGCTAAGAATTGTATTAGAAATGTTAGAACTGCCATAAACCTGAGGAGAATGGGAATGCCTGGGTGTGGAAGCACCAGAATAAAACAGACAGAGAAGGGCTGCAAGCATGGCAGGTATCCATGGCACCTAGTTCAGTAATGTAAGATCCCAGGATGCAGCTGCCTGAAGATTCCCAGCAGGCGTACATCAGATGACAAACAACAGTGAGTCAGTCCTGACAACTTGCTAAGGTGGGGCCAGAATGGAGAGGCCAGTCACCCTCAACTCCTGGAGTGTGCAAAAAGGCACATCTGAAACCAGCACAGAGTCACCCAACTAAAAACAGCACAGGAGACACAATAAGGGGCTGATAGCCACCATCCTTTATCCTATGTCATCACAAGAAACCCTGCTCAGATCCCCTGAATAATGCTGGGAGCTGGACAGACCATATGGCACATCTGAGAATGTGGCTTTGAAGGTGCATCTGAAACTAGTTATGTTTAAAGGCAAGCTAACCTTTTTGACCTGTAAGGTTTCACCTTACGCTTTGCTATCGTGTTGTAGCATTTTTTCCCAAGTGACCAAGAAGTCAAGGTCCAAAAAAACAAACAAAAACCAAAAAAAAMCACCAAACCAGAAAAAAACCCAAAAATCCAGACACAACAAAGACATATACGCCCCACATAAGAAGAACAACAATGAACAAAAAATCAAAACTCACAACAAACTAAAACAAACAAAAAAACAGTAACAACAAAAAAAACAACAAACCAAACAAAAAACCCAACAACAACAAAAACTATAATGGGATTAAATTGTAGCTGAACAATGAGCTCTCTGGTAGCCAATGCTATATACTTAACTCTTTCTAGTCAAGGCCAGCAAGACAAATCTTAATGCTAATCAAACATCTAAGATCCAGCAACTCCTCTCTTCAGAAGACCAGGTCATGATCACTTGTGATGAGACTGAGCGCCTGTGGCCCATTTGGAACATGGGAATTTGGGTCCCTCAGTTCTCAATAGTCTACTTAGGGGCATGACAGAAAGCTTCAGGGTTCCTAAATGTTCTGCACATTTTTCTTAAATATTCAAATTCAATCTCAGCTTTTCCACCCACAGCCATTGGACAGTCACATACAGAGGTTACACAGAAAAGTAAACACTCCCCAAACCTGAGGCATTTCCCCATAGAAACAAACYACATGAATAAAACAGACAAGTATTCAGCACTGCTATCAGGCTTTAGCACTTTTTTACGTTCCATATTACCATTCACACGTATATAACATGTCATTATGACTCTGCTTCCTACATAAATTTTTGTGAGAAACTAAGTTTAGGCTTCAAATACACACAACTGTTTTATGAACTAATGATTATACTGAGAAGCTGTCAAAACAAAAACTGTTTGAGCTCACCTACGGAGAGCAGGCGCCACATGACGGCAGGGGTGGCAAAGCAGGCGAACACATCGTCAGTGCAGGCAAAGTGGGTGAGRTGGGGAAAGGTCACGGACTGCCCCCGGCACTGGCCCCACATGTACACCTGGCCACTCTGGGTCTTGGCAGCTGACGTGTGCGCAGAGTGGCAGGCTGCGATCTCCACGACTCTGAATTCCCAAGCAAACAAAAGAAAGCAAGCAAGTCACTCCCATTAAGAACAAAACACAGCGAATAAACTCACTGCCTCCAGTCTCTCTCTGGTGCAAGACATACTTGTAGGCATGCACATAAGCAAGAATGCTTTCTGGGCATATCCGGCAGAATTAAAAGGGCTGGCAGTATTTCTTCAAGCAGCGTGCACTTGAAGTTTCTCTGCAGAAAAGCATCTTGGGAGCGAGCTGACATGGTGACAGCAGAGCCCTGGATCTGCTGCAGCACATGCACTGCTGACCCCTCAGCTCCCCCAAGCAAAGCTATGATGACTTTCAAGTCTCTAAATGTCCTTGGGCAGTGAGGTGAGTGGCTGCATTGTAGAGAACAAATACTTGGAGAAGATGAAGGAGGAAAGGAGGAGGCATTAAAACAAAAAACTTGATTTTGGCTTATAATTGAAAGTTAATCAAAGCCTTTTTTCTCTTTGGTTATTGTTAACAGTTATAAACCAACAAGTTAAACATACTTGCTCCTACTCATATAATTACTATTACTTACATTTAAAGGACTTTCATTTTGAAAATTAAAAATTAGAACCAACAGCACTTAAAGCTGTTTCTAAATGTCTTTTAGCTAGGCTATGTCTCTAATCCTGAGCTTGATTTAGGACTTCAAAACTCCCACTGTGTACAGCATTACACAATCCACTGTTTTGCAGTCTGAACTATTGCTTGTTTACTTGTTTTCCCAGCTGCCTGGGGATAATGGCAGGGCAACAACTTGTTTAAAGCTGTATGCACAAATCTTGCAGGCTTTAGTGAGCCAATATTTTCACTGACACCAAGAATTCACATTCTGACCAACAAAATGGAAAGACAGCATGCAACACTAAAACTTGCATTAAATTATTGTTGTAACTGCTGCCAAAATGTCTGGGAAAAAAAAATCGGTAACATTTTAAGCAAAAGCACAAAAACACATGGAGAAATAGCAATGTTCAAGATCAGACTATGTCTCATCACCAGAGCAGAGAAGGTACCTCCTCACAACGGTGTACTCAGACACAAGGCTAAGAGGGATGTCTCACTTTCCTTCTTACTCACAACAGGAGGACAAAATCAAGAYTTCTGGCCATATACATACATGGCTTTACAACAGCAATAGAAATAACTGCCTCACTACCCCTCAAGGATCTAGAGAAAAATAGTTAACTTGCAAAAATCTAAGCTTAATTTTTAGGCAACACCACCAAGAAAGAAGTCCTTTTCTCTCTCTCTCTYAGGTTATGAGCCAGATTTAGAAGCAGAAATAACACAAATTGCAGATGTCCACTCTTCACTTCTTCTGAGTACACATCTTGTCATAAGTAGCATATTAAAATACAATTTATATTCACAGAAAATAAAGCTTTTACTGTTGACTTCAAACAATGAAACTACACCACTGAAGGGAAACTGCAATTAAGGTCGGTAGAGTGTGAGCTGAAGGAGAAAATAGCATATTCAGGCTCAGAATATCCAGTTTCTCTTTCACAGGAATGGTTATTTGACAGATTCAAGCACTCTCAGTGAAAGTTCTGTTCACATTAAGCAGATAAACCATTGCAAAAAATTACAGGCTCCTTATCCCCCCAAAAAAACAGATTAAAAATACCATAATTTTATGTAGTTCTTCTGAGAGTATGTCAACCAATGTCTGATTGCAAGACTCTAAGTATTACCTGTCCTTATCCACAATAACTGTTGTAGGGTAAGACTGGTTACTTTTATTCCCAGTACCTAACTGGCCATATGAATTGGCTCCCCAGGCATATATCTGACCTTCATCTGTTAGCACTAATGTATGTGCATAGCCACAGGCAACCTGTAAGAAGTAATAAAAAGAAGAAAACCTCATTTTCATGTAATAGTCAGTTAATACAGATAGATGCATCTTATGCTATAGGTTAATGACATTGATTGTATACCACTGTAAAAACTACAAATACAGAAAAGTTTATTAAAAATGGAAGGAAAGTAGATGAGGTGACTTGGAGGGAAAAATAAACCAACGAGAAAACCTGACAGATAATCTCAAGAGTAGAGCAAAAAGAATAATGAAACTGAGAAAGAAGGAAAGCTATACGACAAATACAAATAACATGCAGAAAAGTGAAAATTGTCTGTCTTGCATTGACTTTGCTCCACGGGCAACTTAGCCAATAGGAAAGCTTTACCACTRGAAAAACAGCTGAGGTCTCTCTGTCTGCTCCTCTCATCCTGACTGACAGGCACACAAAACTGCCCCCTCCCTGTGCTAGCTCAGCTGGGATAACTCCCTATCCCTGTAAGTGTTCAAGGCTGGCTTGGCTGGGGCCGTGACCAACCCAGTCTAGGGGAAGGTGTCCCTGCCCATGACAGGGGGCTGGAACTGGATGATTTTTAGGGTCCCTGTCAACCCRGGCCATTCTGTGAYTCTCTAAACTTACATCACTGGAAGAAAACTTTCACAGTAGGGTATGAGAACCACTGATGCCCACACGAGGTAAGCAACAAGAGCAATCAGCCGGGAAAGAATGGGAAGAGACAAAACTCTCCATTTTGATGGCAGCACACAACTGCATCAACTCTTAACCTATAGTGCAAAGCCCCTCTGTCCTGCTGAGCTGCCTCCTCAGGTACCTGGTATCAGATTGTTCAAAAATCCTCTTTACAGACACAGCACATGTCCCACACACAGACAGATAYACTGTGGCAACGTTACCAGCAACAGCCTTGCTCTGCAGGAGTTAATGTAACTTAGATGGCTATCAAAAACCAATTCACACTGTCCAAAACTAGCTCACCTCTCTTTGTATGACCTGCAAAGCATACTGTAAGTGTACATAGTCCACTGATATCCATGAAGCATGGGATGTACTTTAAAGGAAATAAATCCTTAAGTTATTTACTGCTTGGAGATCTACAATATGTATTAATTGCTATCAAGCAAATACAGTTGATAGAAATAGGATCTAAGACAAACTTGCTGGAGCATTCACTCTCTAAATAGAAGAATAAATATACAGGGGAACATAATACTCACTTTATTATGTTACTATCCAACAGTTGTTACTAGCAAATCTACTGTCTACATCCCAGGATGTAAAATTATGTAATTAAATTAGTTTCTTTTAAAAGACTTGAAAAACCCATAGCTTCCCTGAGAAAAAGCAATAAACAGGATCCAAACTTCAAAATGCTCTCAGAAATTTTCACTAGGTTACAAAACTGATGTTTTCAGATTATATAATTTTCCTGACAGTATCCTAAATTTTTCATAAAACAACTAAAAACTTTCAGTTTCAGTCCTGCAGTCACTTTAAATAATTCTCATTAGCCAAAAGAAGTTATCAGATTGCTTGTTACACTGGTGGCAGCCCCCTTGTTTGGTAAAGTGCAATAACCTCCAAGGGTCAAGACTAACCATGGAATCATACCAAATGTTAGCCAAATACAGTGGGAGAGAATTTGTTCAGACTCCAAACACCAGTCAGTCACTGTGGCTGGAGTGCAGTTCTAAAAGTGGGATTCAGTCTTCAAGACAGAAAAAATGCTGAACTGCAGCATTTTTCCAGAAAAGACAGGGGTTAATGCAGAATGGATAACAGAATACTTTTAAATTAACTTTCACAGGAAAAGTAACCCAAAAGAAACATTTCTAATGGTCTAGTCCTCTTTAAGTAAAATCCTGGCCTCACTGAAGTCAATGGGAAAATTTCCACTGAACTCTAGAGGGTCAGTTTCTGCCCTATTGGCAGAGGCCCATTTTAGGACACACATTTTTTATTCTGATGTCACTTTAAACAAAGGACTGTCTCCTTCAAAGGCAGCATTTGCTGCCTGTATGACACCTGCAGAGGTTCCTAGAGGGTCTGAGGTGGTGCAGCACACACGTACCCGCTGCACACGAATGCCCTGCAGGGCTGCRATCCGGCAAGGCGTGGGCTGGTTGCCGCTGCTGCCCAGCCCCAGCTGGCCATTTCCATTGTACCCCCAGACATAGACCTTAAAACAGAGACAGACATGATTAACTCTTTGCTGTATTCACTTCCTCTAAAAGCAATACAACTACTTCAGAGTTAGAATTTTCTTCAATCTTTCTTGCCCCACATTTTACTACTTTATATGCAGATACACACAAACATACTCATACATATATCTACCTATATAAACACATATTTCTCTTTAAAATATATATATTTTATATATTATATATATAAATATATATATATATATACGTGTTTCTCTTTAAAATACCAATTACACGCTCATCTAGAATTTAAACTTCCACATTCATGCTCTTCAAGAGTCAGATTATATAGGAATACAATATTTTAATATTAAGAACAGAAAATCAGTGATTCATATGGCTGTTTGCCAGTACAGACCAAATCCAGCTTAATACTTCCCTTTTTCAAAGAGCTAATTTGTCATTTAAAAATCTTTTGACAGAAAACACTAAAACCAGTAGGAACTGGAAACTATGCACAACAGTTTGAGTAGGCAGCTTTATGCCAAACATTAGAAAAAGGGAAAACACTGAGCTCTGACACTTTCAGTGACATAGTTCTACTGCATATGATCAATAGCTACTTAGTTCTAAACTCAAGTGCTTGAAGAAATGGAGCTAGCAAGAATGTATACTGCCTAATACYATCTGCACATATGAACTAAAACAAGAACTCTACAACCTCTTTGTATCTTTGAATACAACCTCTTTATATCTTTGAAAAGAGGATAAAAAAATATGAGACTCAGGAGGTACTGCAGTGAAACAAATATATGCAATGTACTTTTGTTTTTGTTTTCTCTCAAGACATGTGAAAGCACTGAAAATTACAATGTCATTCTGTGATTGTTCTCACATTCATTGATTATTCTCACAACACTTTAGATTCTAGTATATACAATAATTTATTTATCTATGAATGCTAAAGACAGCAGTGGTATAATTACAAAGGTTTTTATGAGCAGTATAAGCAGCTAGACTTGAGTGAGTTTGGAAAGGTAAACTTCCTTTCTGAACAGCAGCTCATTACTACCAAGTTTGAAATTACCTACATGCCATGTTATTACATGAAGTAAAATTCAGTCCAAAAATTCACTTTAAATTTCTTACCTCTCCATTTTCCACCACAGCCATAGAGCACATCTGTCCACAAGCTATATTAACTACTATTTTATTTTGTAGGCAGCTGGTAACTCTTCGAGGAATTGGCTGATTTGCTGTTGAACCAGATCCAACCTGGCCTGAGTTGTTATAACCCCATGTATATACCTGTTGCAAGAGAAYTGTCATCAAAGATGGCTTTATAACATACAGTTCAAAGTACATAATCAAGAGAGAAAAAGCTGTATGCATAAAAAATTTCATTTTGTACGTTTAAGTGGATGTATACTTGTACACATTTAGGAAGACACACAGGTTTGCAACTGAATTGTTTCTAACAAAAATAAACCAATCTAAGTATTTAAATATTCCATTCTCTTATGTTCCTCCACTCAAGGGCAAGAGGCAATATGACAGCTGCATTAATGCTGGAAGAATCCAATGCTAGTTTTCCAGAACCCAAAGTAGAATGCCTAATTGCCACAAATGGCACCTCAAAGCAAATTCCAGGAAACTTTTTACTCTGGCAGATAGAATTCATTTCAGAGAATGTGATTTACGTTAACATCAGCTTTAATGCCATTAAGCATTTGAAGGAGAGTATAGCATGGCAAGGAACAGGCTGCACAATTTGTTGTTACAAGCAGATGKGGCACAAAATCAGTGTTCTGCACACACTTCAAAGCAGCTACACCATCACAAGCTTAAATTTTTTTGGAACATTTGTGTTGCATCAGCACTGTGAAGATTGCAAGAAGCAAGATCTAATGCTATAGGTCCAGAATGTTTTCCTGTTTCTCACAGACATGAGTTTCATTAAGAGAAAATAGATATTCATTCCCATTACTCTCACCTCACCATCAGATGTCAACACCATAGAATGATGAGAGCCACAGGCAACTTCAATCACTTTCTTGTTCACCAAGTTAGTAGAGACTTGACATGGAACGAAACCATGATTTGTTGTACCATTGCCCAGCTGACTGTAGGCATTATGACCCCATGTGTACACCTCTCCTTCTACAAGAAAAAYGTAAAGAGCTGGTTGAAAAAGCTTCATTTATCCCATGAGTACACAACATAAAATTACAAACTAAAAAGTCAAATTCAATAACAATATACATACTTAAGTGTATAAATATATATGTCCTTTGGGGCTCTTCAGCCCATGGACATATCAAGGCAACTTTTACACAATGTTGACCACAAATCCAAAAGGATAGTAGCATGACAATCACTGTAAAGAAAACACATTGCTGCAGGAAAAGGGATGATGCAATAAAGAAGAGAAAAGGATGAAATGACAATCAGAATCGCCATTTCAACTCCTTTGTTACTGTCAATCAATCAGAATTTCTTATCTATGCCCTGGCACTGTTTCCCACTCTGGAAAATTCAAATAACAAGCTTTCATTTCCTCACAACATGCATATTCCCTAAGGGTTCCCTCAGAACTACAAAGAYAAGATATGCTACACTAAACAAGTACTTCTCTGTAATAAGTGGTTAAATCTAATTACTTTATCCTATCAAAAACAAACAACATTTTTCTTCATTTCACCAGCATGTGAATGTGAATTTTAGTAAACATGTGAAATGTATGACACAGAAACATGCAGCAAAATGGAAATAATAGTAATTAACCCAAGAATTGTGGAACATATAACAGCCCTCTAAAAGGTAAGTTAAAAAAGCAGTGCTGAAGGAAAGCTATTAATGCAAATGGTGTTAGGAGGATCAGTTCTGGACCTGCTCTTTGGCAGTACTTCATCACTGGGGTAAGGAGTACGAGTGTGTCAGTGAGATCTGCCAGCAACGAAGCCCAGAGGAATACAGATGCATACATGAAAAAGGCATACAGAATGGCGCCACAAAGACTGGAGAAAATGGTGGAATGCAATTGAATATGAAAGAGCACATTTACAACATAATTCCCCTCACCTACTTTTAGTCACCTAATCCAGAATACTGGAAAATGCCTTCCCTCATTAACAAGGAGAGATAAGTATGAATATCATCAATTAGGCTCTAACAGAACCTCACTCGGAACACAACACTAGTAATTTATCTTCAAGAGTAACATCCTTAATTGTGAACAGAAGGACCACTACCATGATGAGGATAATAGAGTGTCAATGAAGGAAACATAAAGGCTGAGAGGCAACATTATGGATCTTTAAAGCACATCCAAAAGTAGGTACTGGAAGGAAAAAATTAATTTTAGTTAAAGGATCAATGCAGGCACAAGAACATAGGGGCATAATGTAGCCACTAATGCATTTCAAGAGCAATCAGAAATTTCAAACTTCACTGAAAAGCAAAAAAAAAAAAAAAAAAAAAAAAACACCCCCCCCCCCCCCCCCCCCCAAAAATCCTCACTCTTCCAAAAGTAGTAATAAGATCAAAGCAGGGCTTGAAAAGCTCCAGAAAATAACAAGCTAGCTGGCATGCCATATTTGCCAATGAAAATATATCAGACTTAACAGCGCAGAATACTTACCTCAACTGTCTCTCATGTTACCAGCCCAGACCTTTCACACCTGCTGGATTAATTTAGGTGAACTCTCTGAAAAAGCAATACTCAGGTCATACTTTACCTTCTGTAGCAAGAACGACATGAGGGCCACTTCCATAACTCAGGCAGGCTATCTTTTTGCCACACAGGGAATCTAACCTCCTTGGTTCTATGGTGCCCTGCATGTCTCCTGTTCCCAAACAGCCACTGCAGTTCATGCCAAGCACAAAAACCTGTTATAAAAGAATCACAGACYCACAATTTAGGTTCCAACAGAGGACCTCCTCTAAAGGTCAGCTAGTCCACCCTTGTGCTCAACAAAGATCTAAACAGACCAGCATGACTAGAGGCCWTACCCAAAAGATTCTGAAACAACTCCAAGGAAAACAAATCTCACAGCTCCTTCAGGATTTAATCATATTTTTTTCCTAGTCGTGAATCAGAACTTCCCACCTTCCAGTTTGTGTCCATTGCTTCTCAACCTGTCACTATGCAGTTGCAACAAATGATTAACTCCATCTCTCTGAYTTTAGTAGGAAGCTTTTAATTTAAACTGAAAATGTTAAAGTAGCAAGCAAAAGAATCAGACATTTTTGCATGCAACTTTCTCTAGGTATACTATGATGTCACCGACTATCAGAATAAATTGATACGTAACTGATTAAACATGTCACATTCATATACGCTCTTGGACAATTACCTCATCATTTTCAGTTGCATACAACACTTCATTACCAGCACTGCCAAATACACAGGCTTGACGAATTAACTTGAGCTCCTCTGGAGAACAGAGAGAAAAAATCGGCCATTTCCCAACATCCAGCATCTTCAGGGCTGACAACAGTGTTGCCTCCAAGGCCTGGTATCATAAAAAATGATATCAAATACCCGCACAGAGAGGAATATATGCCTTTGCAGAGTAAAAAATTAGAGAAACATTACCATCTTTTTTTTTTCAATAACAAGCCAGTATTTTAATTCTAGAATAATACTTGAAAGGAAGACATTAAAATAACAAACAAAATATATAATGATCTAGAAGGATCTATATTAATGGAGAAATGTACCATATAAGAASTTAAATGGTGAGGTCATATTTTCACTATATGCATACAACGTAACTGCTGTCTTACAGAATTCAATGTACAGGACTCCAATACAAAGTGTATATTCAAAACTTTTCATCCGTGTATTTTCCCTTGGTGCTTCAAAATTGCCATTAAAATAAGAAACCATAAAAGAAGTCTGCCCAAGAACACATATTTTGAAAAATATGCATATTTGTTTTCATGTATTATTTTTTCTACCCCCACCTTACACWAAGATGTGCATAAATTCTAGTTTGGAGTCTGAAGTGTGTTGTATCAGTCATAAGAATATTGCTTTTCCAATCAGTATCACTTAGTATGAAAAAATGTATGCAGAAATATAGGTAACATTAGAAACTCAAGAAGGAAACCCTAAACTAAATKTTTTAGCAAATAGCAGCTGACCACACATTCCTTTATTATATACTTCTGAGAATGGGAAAGAAGGATTGGCCATCTTCATGGAAAAAAAAGTTGTGATTTTGATTCTGCCCGTTCTTTCCCCATCTCTCAGCAAGTAACTGACCAACTTCAGCCAAATTTGCCAGGGAAAGGGAAGTAAGATCCTGCTGACACAATCAGCTTGGCAGCAGGCAGCTGGATAAACAGACATTATGAAACAAGTCAGCAAGCAAGTAGGTCCAAGCTAATCCTAGCAAATGCTGTCTTCCATGTACATAAGAGGCTGTAACAGACAAAGGACCAGAATCCATATGGAACCAGTCTTCTTTCATCTGCTGTTTGCAGAACAATTTCTTCTATGTCAAGAGCTTGCCATTTTTATTACGGAGAATTTCAGGCCCTCTTAAGATACGATAATAAATACTGAAAKTATCACAGACTACACTTCCAACTGCATCAACAAAACTGCATCTCACTTTTGCTCAAGACTGAAGCTTGAGATTCAAAAAGATAGTTAGGGTGTCCTTCAATTTTACAGATTCTTTATTGGAATAACATATTGGTTTCTTCACAGTATGGGCTCTAAATTCCAAGTGCTCAGTGGGTCAGAGCTCATTCATCTTAAATAGAAAAGTTGTTTTATCTGTAACCTCCTTCTACAAAGCACTCAAGTCCTACCCTCATAATTAAGATTAAAAAACAAAACAAAACAAAACAAAACCATAGCATTTCTTAACACTAAAATACTACAGAGAGAAAAACTCCCCAACTGCTCTTGCAAAAAGCACCCAAGGAAATACTTATGATATTGAACTTTAAAAAAAAAGAAAGAAAGAACCAAAATTTGATCAGACAAAAAAGTATCCATAATCTAAATCCCGTCTCTGGAATTATTAGCTACACTCAACTCAGTAAGAGATATTCTTTCACTTTTCAAGAATTTCTCCCCTCACACACTTCCACATTATATTTGGTTTAAAAAATATAAAAACCAGCTTGAACTCTTAGCCTATCAACATTTATATCCCATAAGTGATCAGTTCCCTCATTATATTGCACAAAGTCATAAAAGGCAGACTTTGACATGAATCTTAGACGTAATATGAATATATTGTTCTGCAAATATTTTGTGGATGACTTAAGCGAGATTTCTTCTACCTATAGCTTTTGTTTTCTATCTACCTTGAAAACTACTTGCATGTACAAAGCTACTGCTAAATGGAACCAAGCTTCCTCCTTTGGAGCAGAGCAGTACAGAATTCTCAACACAAACTGACATTCTGACCTTGACACTGACTCCTTGAGGAGGAGGCTCATCCTCCATATGGCTTTGTGCTTGTGTCCCCCTGTGGAGAGAGAAATGTGGTTATAATCAACAAACTATATTGCTGCAACAATACTTTCTGAAGCTATGCACACTTCGTATCAAGCCAAAAGCATCTTCTTCCATGGGATGAGAAAATGAGAAATACAAAGCTCACTCAGTTTTGCTTTTATATACAGCTGTAACATGATCAGTTAGGCAGGCTCTGCTCTTCTGTATTGTTATCTAAAACATTAATTCTTGGACAAATTTTTTTTTAAACAAGTGGGAAAATTAATCAGATTGCAATTGGAAAGAAAGATGTTTCTACGAGCACCATACTCCAATRTCTTTTTATTGCAGTAAAAATAAATTGAGAACCTTGCTGACATAATTCTTTAAGACATTTCTTTCAGCAAAGAATAAGCACACTGCTCAGAGAATTCAATTTCTGGCTTAAGCTTTCAAATGCACTTATTCCAGTTCCATTCTGAAACCAATGTTAGAAAAAGATTTGTGTCTTTTCAGGTTTACTRAGAGCCTGTTACAAAATTCATTCTGCTTCAGAAAATATTGTCAACCTGGTTAATTACCTGTATAACTTCTATGACGTACATTATCAAAAGAAACAGATTTTCAGACCAGATGTTTCTTCACAAATATGCACTCCTCTACTATCCTAAAATTATTTCCAAACAGAAAGCCATGCAACTTTGTTTTCAGCAGAACTACAAAAATGAGAAGCAGCTCTGAAGCTGTACAAGCCTCTTTCACTGAACATTTATAAAGTCATACACATAATTTTCTTTCAGGTACATTGGTTCAGACATAGCTAAAAATCTGTTTACTTCTCAAGTAAAATTACACATCTGTAAAATTCTGAGTACAGGTAGAATAACATCTGACAAACAAGATACCATTTTACTGAGTTAATTTTCAGATAAATACCACACTAATACAAGTAACAAATGTAGTTGCGTAAAACTAACTTACTACTAAACTCATCTCTTATGCAAGAATTCATTCCACAAGACCTAATCCAATGACATTAAATACATGAAATTACCATGACTTCACTATTATAAATGCTAATGGTTCAACAAGCATAATGTAATTTACTGAATAAACAAAAAGTTATTAYTTTTAAATGAAAAAAACCCTCAACAGCTGCTGCAGCTTGGCCAWACTCAATATGCACAACTGTTAAACTTAACCTTCAACAACACCCACAAATCCACACACACGCTGTATTTTATACACCTAGTCTGAGCTCATGTGCTAAAGTCCACACTGACTTTGAGCTTAATGCTCAAACACAAATCCAAACTGAAGTAACTTGAAGCTATGTTATATTCCCCTTCAACTGCAAAATATTAAAGGGCTGATTCAGTTACCCACAAATCAGCACCTACTGCCATTTAAGATGACCTTGGGGATCCCCAACTCCAAACAGTGCTGGCAGACATGATCCAGGACCCACTGGATATCCATGCATCCATGCCAAGCGGGAGCAGCAGCACCAGGTAAGAACCCTAAATAAGCCATTTACCAACCTTTACACCTTCATGGAAATGGGGCAATTTGCTGAGCTCTTGTGGTTAAGTAATTTCTTATTTTCTTCAACATACTTTTTCAAACAACAGGAATGCAAACAGTTGATTTTATGTACATTATCTCTCTTTAAAGCAGAAAACACCTCCCCTAATTAAGGCCTTTGACTGTACTACTGAACTGCARTTCTGAAACATTTTATTTCAAGTATGCCAGCAGTCCTACTGTGAAAGTGATTATCAATGCTATCCAATATTTTGTAGCATCAATTTCCAGCACTCCCTAGCAATGCTGACATATGTTACTTGCTTCTGGACCATCCTTAGCCTACACTCAGGCCCCCAAGGTAATAATTACCAACTATGAATTTTCTAGGTAAAACAAATGTAGAATTCCATGTTTCCTTCCTCAAACCATCTGATATAAAACTGATACCCATAATTCTTCAGGTTTTAATATTTCATTTCAATTGCACCTGATCAGACAAAAGCAGTTGACTTCAAAAGCAGTTGATTTGCTAGTATAAAGATACACTGGGATCTAACCATTTCAGCTCCCTAATAAAAGGGGTTCGACTCCACTGCTTTTCAGACTCCCGTCAGTTTTGTTTCACCTTTTCAAGAACAAAGATCAGATACATGCTCTCACAACTCAGATGATGTTTTATCTTATCTATAACTGTGAGACAATTACCCTGTAACCCCCTCTTTTGCTTTGCAAACATAGACACCTTATTTCTGAGCAGCCCCACAGGAGTACATGGGGTGACTCAAATTATGGCAGTCCATTCTTTTATTCAAATTCATGCCTCCTAATAAAAGTACACACTGAGTTCAATTTATCTGTACCTGCAAAGCTGTTCTTTCTAAAAACCTGCAATTGATTTAAGAGTATACATTCACCTGGGGATTCCAAAAATAAAGATAAAAAAAAATTAAGCCTCTTYAAGATCCATTCTTATCCATATATCTTTAAAACACTAGCAATGATTCGTATTTGCTTAATTGGAAGAATTTTCCTCCAAAAAAATAAACATTGTGAATGCAGTCAAGCAAATTAAAAACAAGTATTTTCATCAAAAATGAAAAGACAAAAACCTGGATATTTGAGTAAATGAGGTACAGGATAAAAAACATATCCTAGCTATTTCAGAGAAGTTAATGGGTTTGTTCATCTACTATATCTTATAGCATGTGTGTAATTGCTAATACYCCTTACTTTAAAATAGCTAGCCATGACATTTTAAAAAAATGCAATACTTCCTCTAGAAAGTATAAAGGTAAGCAAGAAATTATTCTCATGCATTAAAACACTTTACAATTTTCACTAACTCTGTTTCCCTCAGAAACTTGTAAAATGCAGATCTAAAGGAAAAAACATCACTGTTGTAAACCTCCATTACTTGAGGATGTGTACAGCCTTTTGATACAGTAATATTTATATTAAACTTTCACAAATCTCTTATCTAGAATCCAAGCACAATTAAGAATCTGGACAGCATACTCTGGCAGTCAGATTTTAGGTCTTGAAAATTTAGAGTTGCTACAGTACAGAGAAGACTGAGTTAAGGAACATAAATACTAATTCTAATAGCCAAGCTCTGTTAGCACTCCAAGACCATTTAATCCTGAGTATTTAAACAGGTTCACTGACTCATCTGAATGTAAACATTCTTCTAGATTCCCTCTCTAGGAACTTGGCAAGCAAACAAAAATTTTCAGAACTCCACTTAGTAGTTCCTCCCATTTAACTTGAGCATTTATGAATCCCATCTGCTGAATCAAAGGTCTATCTACAGCTTCTTCCCCAAGGACTCTAACCACAGGCTTACGAAAGACTAGGAAGAAAARGTCACAGAAGAAAGGGACTTGATGACACTTTTAGAAAAGGAATCTAACCTTCTCTGATATTCCTGATTTCTCAGCAGTTTCCGACTGGAGGAGTCATGACATGATGCTCATTGGTCCAAGCAATTCTGCAGTAGAGATCAGATCAACAGTATTGCCAGCATGTACTCCTATGGAACAGGTAACACACCTCTCTAGGAAGGCTATTTTCAAAATTATCTTCCTTCKTGATGAACAGTAAAATGTCAGTGCTACACCCAGTGCTGACAATAAATTGACAGAACTCAGCTCATCATTCATTCTTTCATTGATGTGGCATCTTCCATCGCCAAGCAATTGCAGACCTTGAGAAACAGTGAGCAGCTGTTTGAAAAACATMTAACTCCTACTAAAGCATAATCTTCACTCTTTCCCTTCTTGTTTCATGACACCAGACTGAATTCTTGGCTTCTGACACAAGTTCCATTGTGTGCCTACTGATTACACAAGCAAATTAACACATGGTTTAGAGGCTAGATCCAAGAAACTCTTTATTGGCTCCATCTCCAGAGACAAAACTTCAGTCAAAAACATCTTGTCAGACACTGCCCCTCTTTTGGCATGACATCCAATTCCACCTGTTGGCTCCAGGGATGGATCCCCAGCATTTTCCAGAGGTTCACATGCAGAATGCATATCCTAAGTGATGGCAAGATAAGTGCTCATGTTAAGTTTCTTTATTTTTCTCATTCCTATTCCAGTTACTATTTCCCCTTTAGAAATGTTTATCACCATCATTGGTGTAGAATGGTGGGTTGTTGACCAGCCAGCAACAAGAGTGGAAGTAACAGAAAAAAATCATCATTGCTCTTGAGAAGGAAAATATTTAAAGCAGAAATGAAAAAAAAAATCCCAAATTATTTTCTTACTCTATAAACCCTAAAGTCAATCTGAAAAAGTAGTACCACAAGTTTGGCTATCCATCTAGTGGATTTAATAAAAAAGAAGATTTGAAGGAAGTGGCTGGCAACTGCTAAGAAAGGGAAGTATGTAACAAGCAAATGAAAGACAGAAACACAAAGACAAGAAAACAGTAATGTTTATAAAAAAATTAAGCCTCCAGTAGACTTAAGGAAATGTCCAAGTCAGTAGCTAAAAAAGCCTGATAAGAAAATGTCAATCAAAACATATTTTCACATAGAAGCATTTACACGTCTTTCTACACATGCAAAAATACATACTGAAGGCAAACAAGTGTTCCAGAACAGGGAAACAATGCAAGAGCTACTTCCAGTGCTCAGCAGTATTATAGGAAGATACTGGGGTCATTTTCACATAATTAGTGGTTTACTTCTGTAGTAAAAGGAAAAAGAATATAATGAGCACTTCCAGGGATCCACAGCTTCTCTGGGCAACCTGTGCCAGGGCCTCACGAATCATAGTGAGGATTTTTTTCCCCTAATTTCTAATCTAAACGTACTCTCTTTCAATTCGAACCCTGTCCCCCTTGTCCTGCCATTACATTCTCTTGTAAATAGTCTTGCTCCATCGTTCCCGTAAGTTCTCTTAATGCACTAGAAGGCACATCGGTTCATTGGCCCAAATGGTTTCTGATGGAGCACAAGCATCACTCGCTACAGACCTTACCCCACTCATAACCTGAGTAAAACCTCTTTGCTGACTGCGCCTGGTAACAGAAATTTCACCTGCACAAGGAAACGAGATCCTTCCACCTCCCACACAATTAACGGTCCTTGGTTCCCAAAGTATCCCTTCTTTTCCTCAAAACCATAACGGGCCGCCAACTCAGCCCGTCTGTAGCGCCGCCACCATCGCACCTGCGGACAGCGCGCCCCGGCACCGCGCAGATGGGACTGCTCAGTGGAGCGGAGCACGCACCGACAGACACACGGACACGCACAGAGCCGGGCACACGCACCGACACACCGCCATCCCTTTATCGGCCATTTACAGTCCCGGTGCCTGAGAAACGAGGCCCCGGGGAGCGCTGCCCCAGCCCGGCCCAGCACGCGCAGCCCGGGCGGCCGCGCCTCACCCCATTCCCGCTCCCCAGCGCCGGTCGCACGGGAAAGGGAGGCACAGGGAAGGGGGGGGGGGAGCCAACCCCTTTCCCTCCCCTTCCCACGCCCCGTGCTCGGCAGCTTACCTTCTTTCCCCTCAAGCGGCGGCGGCCCCAGCTCCTCCCCCCGCTCCAGAGAGCCAAGGGAAGATGCTGCCGCGCTCAGGCGCCTCCTCACCGCGGAGCTGGCCCGGGGAAGGGGAAGGGGAGGGGAGCGGCTGGCACCTCCCAGGGATCCACCCACTGCAGCAGGATCCTGGGGAGCGCTGGGAGCTGTCGTGCGAGCCCGCGGGAGCAGGGCCCCGCGGCGGAGGCGCAGTGCTGGCTGCGGGGAGMGGGAGAGGCAGGAGCACTCGCAGGGGCCGGGCTCTCGGGATGGCACGGCTGCTTGGGGAAGAGTCATGCCCGGAGCGAACACGGCGCCGGGGGAGATACACCGCTTCCCGCCTCGGAATCACAGAGTCATTTCTCCTGGGAAAGACCTCGGAGGTCAACAGTCCAACCTATGGTCCCACACCACCGTGTCGGCTAGACCATGGCACTGAGGGTCGCATCCAGTCTTTCCTTAAACCCCTCCAGGGACGGTGATTCCACCAGCTCCCTGGGCAGCCCGTTCCAGCCTGTTGTCTGGGCCAAAATACGCGCGTCAACCTCGAGAGTTGAGAGGTGAGAGACACATGAGAGACACATGGTCGAAAGCTATTGGGGGAGCATCAAATATTGCTATGCTGTTCCAAAGGAAGTGAGGGGATATTAATCATTCTGTTTCTCCTATGACTAATGTTTAAAATTAAGCACTGCCCAAGAGAATAGGCTTGATAAGTTTTCCTAAAAGCAACAACCTGGCTGTTTTGCTTGGTTGTGATGCCCAAAAGAAGGCTAGAAATAAAACTCCATAGACGGGTGTCTATAGAGGAGCTATTAATTGCAGTGCTGGTGTAGCGCTGGAGGTGAGGGGGATTTCTCCTCCTAACCAACCTGCCTTTGMCCCAAAAATGATCTGAGCAAGACTCTGCAACTTCTATAATTTTAAGTTGTGAAGTAGGTATGTTTATTGCAGCTCTGGGTGAGCGGCAGATACTCCTCAAAGCCGCGCACACCTCAGCACGGGCATCGCTTGGTATATATCTGGTTACATGTTACACATTCACTGAGTTTCGCAATTCGCCTRTACATATGCATGATTTATACCCGCTTTGTATTATAAAGAGTTTAAAAGTAATTTCCRTGTGCTCACGCTTGCGCAGTGTTATTTGGTAGTGGGCTCTGGGGGGTCTCGGGAGGAAGTAAAATACTCATCCTCTTGTCTTGAACTTTTCACCTTTCTGTCTTGCGCATGCTCTCTGCGTCCCTGGCCCAAGTCCAAACAACAATTCTGGTTTTAGCCAGCATGGGGGTTCCACGARCACAAGCTGGGTTACAGTCCCTGCTTTTGTCAATAATCCTTTACTTCTCATTCTGCTTTGACAAACACAATCAATGTTAAATAAGCAATATACACTGTCYAGCAAGCAGTTAGTGATGTATACTGTTTAGCAAGCATTTTCTAACAAGTTACCCTGTAACTTCTAACTTCCCTGCATCACCTTTGCTTTAAATTGGCAGGTATTTATATAGTAAGTATGGTGTAACATTATTATCATCACTACGCCCACCGCTATATATGGGCACAGAAATACATGATATCATAGTTTTACAAGTACACATGTGTCATCCTCAATTCGGTGGTTGTGGGGGGTCTCCCCTTAATGAGATACCATCGTCTTCATCATGGTGGATTTTCACCTTTGTCTTCAGCGCATGCGCAGTTGTGAAAGTGGCCTTTCCTTACATGCCATTTGTTGAACTCCTGTCTCATTTTCTTCCTTTCATTTGAACTGTCCCTGGGTTGTTTTTCTTCTTTCCTAAATGTAATGCTAAATTTAGAACTCAGCAAGCAGCWGTGAATGGAAGGGAATTGAAATGGAAAGGAATGCTCATTGCAGGAAGGTTGGACCAGATGACCTTTAAAAGTCCCTTCCAACCCAAAACTATTCCATGATTGTATGATTCTAATATGTGCCTGTCTCATCTTASAAGCAGTTTGTAGTTCCTTCCAATATTTCAGTTAATGACTAGGATCATGCTCATTGCATTTCTGTTAGACACAAAGTTGGGAAGGACTGATGGTGCACTGCAAGGCAGTCTAATTTTAGCTTATACAGTAGCATCACATCACTGCAAAACAAGTAAACCTCACACTGGGATGCTCAAAAATAGTGTCTTAAGAAAGAAAGGAAACATTGCCAGGTTGTGAGAAAATGCTATTGCGAAGAGTAAGGAGAATTTTTGATCACTGCATGATCAGGAATGAAATTGAAGTAACGGGCATTCATCTTTGGCCATAGGGAAAACTGCTTTCACAGTGAAAATAAGGAAGTTGGGAATAGATTGCCCAGTGAGGCTGTAGTTTCCATGATCTGGATTGTAGACCAGAAATAAGGTAACTTTTGTTGATGATAATTCAGGTCATGAAAATTGATCAGATGGCCTGTGGAAGTCCTTTCCACTTCTAGTATTCTATCTTTAGTTCCATTGTACAGGAAATTAAATGTACCAGAAATGAGAAAGAAAAAAAAAGGCAATAAAAAGTATAGAACCTGTAGTTAAAATAGGAACAAAGAGCAGTTTTTAATCAAAGCAAAATAAATTTCATATAAATGTTGACTAATAAAAAAGATTATTTCACAATAACCTAATTATTCAAAATACTCAAGCAGTGGCTGGGTTCCCTTTAAAAAGACATCAAGGTTCACTATTCTTTTTTGGGGGTGTGGAATAACAGACTACAAGTTAGATATAACATGGCTTGTAGAACAAGTAGTCCAGGAAGAATTGTTTGTTTTGCTTCAATATTCAGTTATGTCTTACAGGTTGATCCTGACAAGTCTTTGTTTATATTCAAATGCCAGCTCTGTTGTGATTTTGTGATACTACTCATTATGTTTGCAACAAATCAGGATTTTACTAGTTCTGAAAAGTCATGATTATGGTAATATAATTCTTCATGGTTTTTATTTTGAGTAAGCATTTCAACAGATAATCTCTAGCTCCTCTTCCCCTTGAGTATCATTCTTTTGATGCCTTCAATAGATCTGGTTTTCAGCTTAATTAATATTTTTTATCATTTCCAGTATTTTATCAGAAATTGTTTCACTATGAGTATCAGTGAGCAAAGGATCAAGGTTCCACTACCTCTATGATTACATTGCTTAGATACTGCCTATGAAAAATTTGCATTAAATTATTTTTTAATCCATGAAGTTCAAACTGTAGTGATGTCCCTGCAATTTGAGAAAACAGATTTGTTTCAGACTTACATTATACTATGTACAATGAAGAAAACAGGACAGAAGCTAGATCTGTGATTATTGTCATTTTCTATAAGCCCTGTCATTTAATTCCTTGCAAAGATGCTATTTCTAGCACCATAGATATTCTTTTTCCCACAAAAAATATTACAGACAGGAAATGTTTTGGATAGAGTAAAAACATTTCCTGATAAACATTTTATCACAGCTTGATAACTATTTCCTGTTGGTAGGATTTGTTTTAACCATTGACATTTTGTTTGTTTTCTTGCYATAATTAACACACTTATGGGATCTGGCTAAGTGTGCTCATCCTGTTAAAGAAAGGTTTTGACAAATCACACATTTGATTATAATGTCATGCAAGATTTTATATTGTCCATTTCCCTTCATTTCAGCTTTGTCTGGAGCAATAAATGAAAGAG